CAGGGGCAACACCACCAGTAGGCCCAGGTGGACCCCAAGCTTGGAAGTGCTGCTGGACCACCTCCAGGTGATACTGCATCATCATCCGCACCAGAAGGAAAAATAACAGTGGTTTGAACTCTTAGCCTCAGAGTATTTCAGATCCCTTCTTAAGCCATTATCTGTAGTCCCCAAAGCTTTAAATGTCAGTGTATTGCATTAGAAACAGCTCTCTTTTCTTGGTGCTGGATCTGAGTCCCTCCTGCCACCCCCTTACCTTCAGCTCCCCCTCTGTTTCCATAATAGAGCAAGTTTGTCCAATGTCGCAGAAATCAGAAGGGAGGTTTTTTGGGGGGATTGAGGAAAACACAACGATGGAGAAACTCAGGATCCATTCTCCCACTCACTTCCCTCGTTTCTCACCAAGGTTTGAGGTCAGTGAAGCCAAGGACAAGCCATCCCTTCCCTCCTCACCACCAGTGTTCACTAATTGGACCAGGGTGACCCCGGACACGTGTCTTCACAGTGCAGAGGCATAGCAGCCATGGAGATTGCTGGCAGGAGCTGGGAGACAGGGACAGAGCCTGGGGGGATGTTCAAGAGAGGAAAAGACACTACCATCCCACAAGGATACACCAAGGCAGATGGAGGGGAACAAATACCCGTTCTGCTATGACACTCTCTGCTGACCCCAACTCATACACTACACCTGCAGGCCAGGTCCCCACAGAGCCTTCATGTCTCTGCTACAGAGACATGAAGAGCAGGCTGGCCCGAGCTGCGTGACAGCAAACGCCTCAGCAGGACACAGGGATCAGAGAAAGCAACAGCGAGAACGAACTTGAACGTGTCATCCTTCATGCCAACCACACAGGCACAAAACCACTGCATCTTTTCTGTCTGTCATTCGGGTACAGCATTAGCCCCGGTCCTCTGGAGGGGCCAAGATGGCTGAGCTGCCCTGTTCCCTCTGCTTTAGCAAGCTTACCTGCTGCAGGTCCACCAAAACCCACATCCTTCCCTTCACTTGGGGCAAAAGAGAAAGATGAGTTCCCCACCCCAAAGCCATGCATGGGCACACAATCCCTTTTTTAGGTGGAAAGCACAGAGAGAGGCAAGAACAGAGATGGGCAGAGATAAAGAAGCACAGGGCTTGGGGACACCACATACTGCTTCACCTACTACCTGGCCCTCCTACACACCAATTAATTCAAAGGTGGAAAGGTTTTGGGCAAGAAAAAGCACGGAGCTGAAGAGGGCTGCAGGGAAAGGCTGGTGATACCTTCCCACCCTCCACCAGATGGCTTCGCTCCCAGAGAGGCAGCAGGAACATGGCTTTGCTGCTCGTGTCTTCAACAACCAATAGACATTGGGCTCTGGTGGTCTGATCCCAGTTCCAGCCCAGGGGTAAGACAGTTTTTTTTTAGTCCTTCCCTTCTCAGACCTCAGCCCCTGGTTCAGACAAGATCAAGGAGCTTCAATGCTCACCTCAAAGAGTTCAGCATTGGGAAATGAGGATCTGATACAAACCTGCCTTCTCCTCTGCCTCTCTCACCACCCCACACACCCACACGCTTTTGGGTTCCCTCTCATGGAGGTTGTCTGAGAGGGTGGCTGTCCCCCCCTGTACACTGGTGGCGGAAGTCCCAGCACGGCAGTACCAGGAAGGCTGGACAAGGGGCAAGCCACCACCTTGGGAAATCCCTGTCCCCTCCAGCTACAAGGAGGAAGATTTTTAATGACAACCACTCTTGCTCCCTAAGGATAATAAACACAAGGTTAGCCAGACAAATTAGGCAGGAACATTGATTGGTTTGGCCTTAAATCCAAAAATGTTTAAACAATTCTTAAAGGAAAAAAAAAAGAATCCGTATAATCTGTAAAGTCCATTCTTCCCCTCTCAACAGAAGTCTGTTTTAAATTTGATTTCCTAAGAATAAGAAAGTGAGTAAGTCTGGGAGGAGGACAGGGCCAGAGTCCTGCAGAAGAGTCCCAGCACTGCTCTTCCAGCAAGACCTTTTCTTCCTGACCAAGGGGGCAAAAGGGAGAGGCAGGGAAATGATGGAGCAAACAACAAAAGAGAGGGTAGAGAAGGCAACAGGCTGTACTTCAAGAGTAGGAGATCCAGATATTGCAGCTGTGGGCTCATCTGAAACTCCCAAGAGACAAGGGCCATAACTCAGCAATGAAAACATGACTTGCAGTGCAATCCCCAAGGACGCCCATGCACAGGAAGAGCTGGTATCAGGGGAGAGGCTGCTCCCACTGTAGAAGATAACGAGGTACAGCCTCAGCACATACGTACTTTATTCCCTGCTTCACAGGGCTCTGGTGCTGCCAAATCACCCGTACAAAGACTGACTTCTCTTTCTCTCCTGTCTTCAGCAAGGCCTGGTATTGGGCTTGTGGTGTTGTCAGAGAAAAGGCAAAGCCAAAAGTGTGAGAGTAGATCTCAGGCTCCCTTCCATGTGCAAAAAATGAAAAATAGCTTATTCCTTCCATAATTTCCTGCTACTGAATCACATGAGCTACCACACCTGCCCTCCTCCAGCTGCCCCTGAGGAAAGTACGTTCCCCTCTGCTGCAGCCTCAGTGCTACTGCTCTCATCTTGCTCAACACAAGGCTCCTCCTTTCTCAGCTGGGTCCCCATTTCTCTATAATGTCTCTATGCCCAAGACATCCATGCAGCCACTTGGCACAAGGACCCTGTGACTGTGCCATGACTCCCTCCTGCTGCATCAGCTTCCCTTTGGAGGAAGAGCATTCTGCCTACTAAAGCTTCTCCCTCCACTCAGTTCCCAAAGGGGCTTTTCTTCCTCTGGGGAAGACACAGTAGAATTGAGAACAGTGATTTTTTTAAAACAAACAAACCAACAAAAAATCCAAACAAAACAAAAAAAGAGGGTCCTTCAGTTCTTCTAAACAGGCAGTATGGCTCATGAGATGCAGAAGTAGCTAAGATGAACTCCATCTCAGTTTGATCAGAAAAAGATGTTCATTTTCATTCTCTTCTAGTCTCAGTCTTATTAGGCAATCAAGTTATTTTTGTTGATTTTTTTTTCACTTCTCTAGAGAGGGGACTAAGAGGGAGAAAGAGAGAGATACAGAGAAAGGAATGAGGCACAAGGGTGGGAATGGGCTGGACAACACAGGAATATGGAGCCCTGATGGAGTGAGTTAATGGCAATAGAAACCCTTGTGCTTTAGCACAGCTGGCCTGATGTCAGGGTCGCTCTTTCTTATGCCAACATTTTCCTCCTCCTCCATATGATCTTCACTTCTCTGCTTGGAACACGAGCCAGTCTTTCCACTGCAAGGCTAACAGAGCAAGCTCATGGTGTTTTTCACCCTCTGCCCGCTACAGTCCAGGCTCTGGGCAACACATCCAGCCATCTGCTAAGGAAGGGTGGTAAGTGTGAAGATGTGGATCTGCCTCCTCAATGAACTGAATCAATCCAATCCAATCCAAAGACAGGTCAGATCCTGACTACCCATCACTGGCAAACTCTGAGCAGACACTGGCCCAACCAGCTGCAACTAACGTCATTCTAGATCCCCTATCCTTTGCATGGTCTTGCCTGCATGGCCCAGGCTGCACCTGTGGGTTGCACATGCTCTTTGGATTGCACGATGGTCCCCAAACAGTCTCTTGGTCCTGAGGGGAGTCTGCCCATGGCCCATTTCTTCACAAGCTCCCTCACACCCTGAGAGCAGACAGATGGATCCTATGTGTCGACAGGCTTTGTTTCCCCACAACACCCATCGCTGACTCAGACCTTTGCCCTTCTCCTCTCCCTTTTAATCCAACAGCAAGAAGGAATAGCCAGCATGTGTAAGCAGCAGCCCTGCAACAGGCAGAGCCTGCAGGGTTGCGGAGGCAGCCAGAGGCACGCAACAGTCCCGCGTGGGTAGCGCTGCTATACAGAGTCAGTGCTCTCGCTGGCCCTCTCCTGTGAATTCCCCGAAAAGTCATCCATGCCGAGAAAGAGATCACCGCTTCAGGATCCCACCACTTCCTGAAAGCACACACTCAAACCCAACTATGTCCCCTTCCCCCCCAGTACTGGTAACGAACGCCCACATGCATACCAAAACCATGCATGTTAGCACTCATGCACATAGGAAACCATGCACTTGTAAACATACACTCCCACCATCTGATTAAGTCTCCTGCTGCTTATCCCAGCCCCCATATAAGCATGTACTGCAGGGAAGATGCTTCAGCTTCTGTGGGCCAAGCCAGTGCAGTGTTGTGGGGGCAGAGGTGAAAAAGGAGTTTAAAAAAAAATAAAATTAAAAAAAACACCTACCAAAAATCAGCTTTCTCCTCTGCTTCCCATCTGCCTGCTCCAGGATTGGTAGAGCATCAGGCCAAGATGCAGCCCAGGACAGATGCATTAAGCCTGCAGGAGGAGGCTGGATCTTGAGGAGAACACCTCAGAAGCAAAGGATTTCCCTTCCCCAACATACTTTTTGAATATAGAGGTATACAAAAAAATAAACGCATACTGAGATGCTTTTGCACATTCACTCATCCAAAAAAATGCCTGTGACACACATCTGCACATGTGACCACTCGCATCGGTTTGTGCCTGCTGACTCACACGCTCACTGAATAGCCCAGGCTCGCATCTGTGCTTGCTCCGATCCACAAAGGACGAGGGTGGACAGGAACAGCTGCCCTCTCTCCCCATCGGATCCTCCCGGCCTCCCCCAGAGGAAAATTTGCCAGCTGACTGCAGAGATTCTCTCCAGCCAGCAAGAGAGGTACAGGAGATGCAGGAAAGTCTTTACACTACTGCCAGAGTAGGTCCCCAACATCTCTCCTCCTCCTGCCCTTCATACGACTGAGGAATCCTTGTGCCCAGGCATCACCCTGGGACAAAGGGAAGAGGAGAAGGAAGGGAGGGAGGGCAGAGACCCTGGGGAAATAGCATACCCCACCCAGAACCAAAGAAAACAAAAAAAGAAAGGAACAGACGAAAACACCCGACTC